TTCTGTACGTTAAAGTACTTTTTTCTTTTTTTGTCTCTTATCAAAAGAATCCATATCATTTTTATTTCTGTAGAAAATAATTTAAGTACTATTTTGCAAGTATGTACAAAGGTAGTATTTTAAAGAGGACAAATATGCGTTAAAGGATCATTGCTCAAGTGCATAATATAGGATTCGTAAATACAATGGAAGAGGAGCAAACGCAAATTTCTTTCTTCAAATAATGACTCTTTTTTCTAAATGTTTTCAGCTTTATCTTTTCCCTTCAAACAAGACTACTGATATTCTTGAAATTGTTCATACGTAGGGCAATCTCTTGCAAATCGAATCAACTGAGATGTATACACTCCCTATGCAGGTGATGAAGGTATATACTGCTGCATAAGTAAGGAAAGTTGACGATAGAAAAGTTAAAGTCATCACCTTAATCATATAGCTTGGTTGTTAGATTACCATTAACGTCCTTTTCAAGTAAAATATCCTAGTATGAGAATATGAGATTTTTTTTATTAATTCCTAGCCACAAATTAAACATTCGAGGGAACGAAATAAAATTCGTTGTCTAGAAATTAAAATTCGTGGGAACGAAATAAAATTCGTGGCCACGAATAAAAAATTGTGGGTATGAAATACAATTCGTGGCCACGAAATACAAAATAAAGAATCTACAGTGTATTCACAGGTCGGATTCGTAATTTAGACGCCCATGTGCGCATAGACGCGGATCTGCAGACAAAGAGCTGAGAAGACATGTTATTTACAAGTAACTAAGCTTATGTCCAGTGCTTTTTCAATGTATTTCACACATTTATTGCTAGATGTTTCAAATTAATGGCGCGTAAATGTAGAACATTTTTAGTTAATCACTCAATGTTTATTTATTGAAGAATCAGTGGCAGAGTATACTAGAAGGCCCCTATTGTCGGAAACGTGACATATTAAAAACGAAAGCAATGTTCAAATATCATAATGATTGTTTTTACATGAAGCTGTTTTATTCAAATGAAAGTGTGTGCTTTTTAATAAAAGGTAATTGTTTTAGAAAACATGCGATGAACTAGGGAGATCAGTACTGATACTATTTATAGGTTTAGTTAATGGTCAGTACAATGTTCATCAGCTCTTCATGTATTCAACCGGCACAAATTAAATTTCAACAACACCTGATCCAGGCACACAATTCAATACCAATAACAATGGGACACTGAACCGTTTTGAATCATTTTAAACGAATATCCCGTTGGCTCATTCCAATCAAATGATAATAATATATAAGTCCGTTCATTTTGAATGACATGAAATAGAAAAAGGTATAATCTTTTAAAAAATTTTACTTTGTTCCCACGAAATTTTTTATTTAGTGGTCACGATTTGGTTCCCATGAATTTTATTTCTTGGCCACGAATTAATAAAAAAAATCTCACACCATGTCCTGTACCAGCCACCGCAGAAAAAAAAACACATATAGAATATTTTTTTCTATTCGATTGTCCTGAAAAGTGCAATGTATCAATAACTGGGTATAAAATAATTCTAAAAATAAAATGACTGAAATAAATGCTTATATTCTGATATTGCGAACAAAATAATTTTTGACTGTGTTTATGTATTACAGCTGAATTATGGTACCTAGAACATCATTTTTTTATCGGATAACTTGGATAGTTGGAAGTGAATTGAAGGTTCTACCCGCTTTTTCTTCACGCATATAATGCTCACCTTTCTGATTCCTATCGTATCTTGCCTGATCCCACATTCTATGTTTTGGAGGTCCGTGTTTGTTCTGCCCCTAATTTGTAAAATTGTTTTCTAGACTTTTTGATCTTGAATAGTTATTATAATATCCCCATGTTTCAACAGCCATCACTCACATATGTCATTTAGAAAATGATTTTATTTCATGATTTATAGATAATAAAGTGAATTTTCTGTCAATTTTAATATGTACAATGACATTATGGAAGAAGTATGTGTATATTGTCAAGAAGCATGATTGCGTTCTATAAATCAAAAAATATATTTATGCCTCCTATAAGAAATATCAGCCTGATAGTGCAGTGAAAAACAACCAAACACAGATATGCAGTTTTGTCGATTATGTCATTTTATTCAATGACATACACGGGCCTTATAGGTCACCTGAGCATTATGCAACAATTTTTCTAGTTATTGAATTTGATTCATGTTTTAAGCCAGATGCTATATGACATTCACAATTTTGAAAGAGGCACCATTGATCATCATAACAATACACTTAGCAGTTGCTTAGCTTGGTTACTGAATACCCATATGCAGGGTAGGGGAACAAAAATGCATTCCAACTAACCACTGTGACATAAACCCCTGACCTTAGGTCCACACATTGCATAAATTTCAAAAGGCACCCTTAATATAAAAAATAAATAAATGTTTTATAAATACAAAAGAGCAGATTTCAAACAATAATTCATTTTCAGTATATAAGTAGAGCCCCAACCCCATCCCTGACCCTAGGGCTTTGAAATTCACAATTCTGCAAGATTAGGGCCCTTGCTCATCATAACATTAATGGTACTTCATCTGCTTTATACCCAGAGACAAATAAAAAGAATTTCAAAGATCTAATGTATTTTCATTATATAATCAATTGAGCCCCGCCCCCCTAACACCAGAACCCCTGACCCTGGGGCCATAAAATTCACAATTTTGGTAGAGGCACTCTTGCTCATCATAACTATGTACTAAGTTTATTTGATACCTAGGAGCAGAGAAGAAGATTTTCAAAGAATTCATGTATTTTCAATATATAATCAATAGAGCCCTACCCTAACACCAGAAACCCTGTGACCCCGGAGCCATAAAATTCACAATTTTGGTAAAAGCACTCTTACTCATCATAACTATGCACTTAGTTAGTTTATTTAATACCTAGGAGCAGAGAAGAAGATTTTCAAAGAATTCATGTATTCTTACTATATATAATCTATAGAGCCCCGCCCTAACACCAGAACCCTTGAGTCATAAAGTTCACAATTTTGCTTGAGGCACTCTTGCTCATCATAACTATGCACTTAGGTGGTTTATTTAATACCTAGGAGCAGAGTAAAAGATTTTCAAAGAATTCATGAATTTTCACTATATAATCAATGGAGCCCCCCCTTAACACCAGTCCTTGACCCTGGGGCCATAAAATTCACAATTTTGGTAGAGGCACTCATGCTTATCATAACTTTGCACTTAGATTGTATATTTAATGCTCAGGGGCAGAGAAAATAAAATTCAAAGAAATCATGTATTTTCACTATATATAATCAATAGAGCCCCGTCCTAACACGAGAACCCCTAACCCTAGGGCCATAAAATTCACAAGTTTGGTAGAGACACTCATGCTTATCATAACTTTGCACTTAGTTAGTATTTTTAATGCCCAGGGGCAGAGAAATTTTTTTTCAAAGAAATCATGTTTTTTCACTATATATAATCAATAGAGCCCCGCCCTAACACCAGAACCCCTAACCCTGGGGCCATAAAATTCACAAGTTTGGTAGAGGCACTCATGCTTATCATAACTATGCACTTAGTTTGTATATTTAATACCCAGGGGCAGAGAAAAAGATTTTCAAAGAATTCATGTATTTTCACTATATATAATGAATGGAGCCCCGCCCTAACACCAGACACCTGTCCCTTGGGCCATAAAATTCACAATTTTGGTAGAAGCACTCATGCTCATCATAACTATACACTTAGTTAGTATATTTAATACCCAAGGGCAGAGAAAAAAATTTTCAAAGAAATCATGTATTTTCACTATATATAATCAATAGAGCCCCGTCCTAACACGAGAACCCCTAACCCTAGGGCCATAAAATTCACAAGTTTGGTAGAGACACTCATGCTTATCATAACTTTGCACTTAGTTAGTATTTTTAATGCCCAGGGACAGAGAATTTTTTTTTTCAAAGAAATCATGTTTTTTCACTGTATATAATCAATAGAGCCCCGCCCTAACACCAGAACCCCTAACCCTGGGGCCATAAAATTCACAATTTTGGTAGAGGCATTCTTGCTCATCATAAGTATGTACTGAGTTGGTTTATTTAATAACCAGGAGTAGAGAAGAAGATTTCCAAAGAAATAATGTATTTTCACTATATACCTTTATAGCCCCACCCTAGCACTAGAACCCCTGATCCCATGCTGATTACAATCATGCAAACAGTTTGACTGCTTGATGTCCAGGAGTAAAGAAGAAGATTTTTAAAGATTGCATTAGTTTTAATGGTTTTGGCTCCACCATTCAGGCCCCGGGGGGGGGGGGGGCAGGGATCATAAAATTCACAATTTTTGTTCCCCTTTACCCGACGACGGACGTACACGGATAGCAATAGGTCACCTAAGTTTACTCAGGTGACCTAATTAAAATTGAATAACTTTTTATTCTCTTCTGAAATAAAAACAATGTAGAACCCAAATTATGTGTGCCGTCAAAAAGGTGAGCATTGCCAGTACCGTACTTTACAACTGTGTGTTATCTCCATATATGTTTCATTTCATACAACACATACTAGTATGATTTTAAATTTGAAAATCATGGGGCAAAAATGCACATATAACCTATAAATTCCATTTAAATATTTTTCGAAAATTTTGCCAGATTGCTATTGATTTGTTTATTTTCTAGGAATTTTTTTTATACAAGTTTCAAAGCCATTTAATAAATGACGGTCCTTTTTGAAGAGTTGGTACATGTATTTTTTGAAAGAAAAGTTTGCTTACACATGTCATATAATTTACATTTCCAATAAGGTTATATAAATAATAACATAACAATATATATTTAAGTTCATTCTAGATGCAATGAATATGAACAGTTATTTTTCAGTGGAGTGGAAAAAAAATAAAGAAATTCAATATTTGAGTAATGGTGAACACGATTCTTTTCGAATGTGAATATTTTTTGATTTTATTTTAGATTCTCCATATAAAACACAAACAAAACAGATGTTTTGATGCTTTAATTCCGTGCTCTCAGTTCATTTACATTTTAGTAAATTTTACTAAATTTGTACAAATAGAGCTTATACACACCAACTTTCGCACTACACTCATTCGTATATAAAAAATATAAATCTTTGCTTTTTTACACGGTATACATGGGAAAAAAGAGAAACAAGAGTATATAATGCATTAATTCCAACCCTGTATTTCGTTTCACATTTGTTGTCATTTCAAACGTGATAATGCAGAAAAGTTTTTGCAGTTAGGTTTTTAATATATACGTTTTTTGAATTATAAATACATTTTAATAGTGTAACACAATGAGGGTATATGTTTTAAGTTTAATATTAATTAGTACAATACATTTATCCATGTTCAGATATTGTATTATAAATCATAATTGATAATTGATTAAATAAGGGAATTCCTAAAAGATCCACTCCTTTAGAACTAATTTCTAATTTGTTGTCCCAATTGAAAGTACAATCTATCTGTATCAAGGTCAGTAAAAATGGCGGATAAATTCAAGTTGTGATGTTAACATACACGAAAAATAACCAATATATGGATTGTTCTGTATATTTTTGGGTTGATATAAGTCTTTGATAACTATATTTTTGAAGTCCAGGTAAGAAATGATAATAAAATAGACCAGTCTTGATAAAGCCATTTAGGAAAACGTTTTTTCCTTTATTTTAAAGCTTACCCCTAAGCTTAAATTCTCTGTTCAAACTTTCTCTTGGAGCTGTGGTACGTCTAGCAGTCGCCATTGCTCAAAGCTCACTTTTTTCGAGTAATTTTCAATGCAATAAAAAAGGCGGTTAATTTTCAAAACTGGCTTATTATTAAATCCGTCTTATTTTCAAGGTTTTAGGATATACTGACCTAAGAGTAATAACAAAAATTATCAATAATCTTTCCAAAATAGTAAGGACAATATTTTTCTACAGTAATGACATTCATATAGTACAGTTATCTTACGCATTACACTGAAGTATTAATTTAAGTATTGACTGGAGAATAAAAATGAATATTTATCTATATGTTGTAGGCAAAACTTACAGCCATTGGACATGTACTAATGAAATAAGAAGCAGCAATTCGAAGTGGTAAAGTATAATTTTAAAAAAAAAATGTACAGCTTTTTATACAATAAGGATATGTATCGCCTGGATCAAAAATATTTATGAAGTGTTTGAACTAGACTTCATCAATAAACAATGTTATATTTAGAGAAATTACGTAGGTTATCACTGCATAAATACGTTGACTGTTTTCAATGTAAATTAATTAAAAATATTAATAACTCGGAAGAAATGAAAGTAATCGAAATGGTATCTATCGATTACATTACGATGATTAGAGATGCAGTAACGAACAAAAACGCATCAAGTTGCATTAAATATAGATATGGAATACTTCAGGGCCAACCAGAATATGAAATTTGCTTTTAAGTTTATCTTGACTGAACAACTGCTTTCATTTATTCTTTAATTTTACAGTGGAAGTGACTGAAAATAATCACGATGACATCTTTTTTTTTTCTTTAGAAACTTTGAATATCAATAAATGTTATTTTTTTCTCCCCTAATCTAAGATATCCACTCTGTTATATTGCACTTATTCTTCTCTTCAGAACATCACCACTCAGTCTTAGTATAGCCTGGAAAATAATAAAACAGATAATTTGTTAAACACTTATAATTTAAAAAAATATTTTTATACATGTACCTTGGTATTTGTTGACTAAACATATGGAAAAGTAGTTACTTTTATAATCATTATTTTCATACATTAGACAATTCAATTAAAATTTAAAAGCAATGTTTTTCTTAAAACTGCTTTTTGAAAGAAACAGTTTTAAAGAGAAAAGAATAACAGAAATAATTGAGAAAAATGTAGAATCAAATAAAGACAGAAAAAAAATATAAATACACTGAACCAAACTTCTTAGCGTTCACCTAACATTTTCTGAGTATTAAAGAACACATTCAAACAATAAATTATTTTTATAATTCATTGTTAATAATGCATATCTCAGATCGATGTTGCATAAATTCCATGAAAGTATCTCGTCAGAATTTTAAGCAAAGTGTCAAAGAGATGGTGTACCCTCAGAATGAAAATTCACACAAAATAATCTCTATGGAGTAAGAACATTGCTCTCTCTAATTACCGCAAGACATCCTTTACTCTTGGAAATCATGTACCCCTAAATAGGAGGTTGACATATCTGCTGCCACACCTACTGCATAGAATTTTCGAAACCGTTAAAATTGTAGGAAGGGGGGGGGGGCTTTGACATTCCTTATAAAAATCACAAATGTGTTCAATGGGATATAGATTCGGATATTTTACAGTGCGTCATCACACCGAGGCCTGTTGGTCAATATCCATGGGCGTTTAACACGTAAAAGCATAGCTTTAAGGATGATTCAGACTGCTTGAGCTGACATTAGACTGTCACGAGCAAGGATTTCGTATCATTCTTATGCGATTGAAATTCTTTATTTTCGTTTTTCTTAGATTGTTTCAAGACAATTCAACCCTCTTTTAACTTGATGTAACGCGAAATTTTGGTCTCCTACGAAGAGCAGGTTCACTACTGGTTCGGTTAAATCATGTTCAAAGCTTTTAAATTTTGATTAATAGGCGGTGAAAATGACAGACAACCTATAGAAAAATGTGTCTAAGGTTTTCAATCCCTAATGGTACCAAATTGTCTACCTTTAACCCCCTTCCCCACAGTCACGCATTTTAACGCATATACCGTTGCCCCACAATCACGCATTTTAACGCATAAACCTTTACCCCACAATCACGCACTTTAACGCACACTGCGTTTTTTGACGTTTTCTGCTCTGATACCCCGTAAAGTTTTGATGGTATGACAATAAATGATAAATAATATATTTTTTAATTCCATTCTAATATATTTCGAAAATAAGAATATTTTCCTCGTTTTAATATGTCCGAGTCGATCGATTTATTAGACGAAACTTGGGATGCGAGACAAATTAAGAAGGTCTTTTTTTTACACTAAATAAGCTCACCAATTGAACCACTGGGTTGGTGATGTGGTTGTCTCCCAATCTTATGTGAGATGGGACCCTTGATCCAGAATTTATCAGATTCGACAAATGAATATTTTATGTAAATAATTGATAAAAGTGTGTGCAGAAATCAACAGAAGGAAGAGGTTTTGTTCATATAATAAAGCTTTGTTTTAATTTACATTTAATCTTATTCCTTGTTCGATGTAAATTCAAATTGGTAAAAATACGATTTATTTGAATTCTTGTTTCCGCCTTACACGGCAATAAAAAAAAAATACATACACAATTGGAAAAGAAAAAAAAAATTAAGAAACGGCAATATCGTGTTGAAAAAGATGTAGATTAATTTAAAATTTAATGATTTCGTTATCGAGTCAACGTTTCCAATATTCGTAAAAAAATGTTGCACTTACTCGTATGTATTGATTTTTAAAATAATATACGTATATGTATATACATAAAACAAGGTATTCGGGAAAATTTAATGCAAGTATTCATCATACTCGTTTGATTTTTTTTTTTAGGAAAGTCTGTCAGCTAGTAATACCCTCTGATGTGAAAATACAGTTCAGTTCAGTTACGGGCATATGCATACAGGCATAGGAAGTTGACATCAGGTTCATACGAAAATTAATTCCATTTTATGGCATGCCGCAACAAAGTTTTTGCTAAAATTTTAAGCATCTGCAATATAAATACTTGCTGGAACTGCAAAGGCAATGTGTTATGTATTGTACGACAGACGCACGGATTAACAGGCAGTTGACATCGATCGGATTTTAAAAAATGGATCCCACGATATAGCATGCCTCAGTGGAGAATGTGCGAAAATTTCAAGCATCTGTGATGATTAGTTGCTGCAAAAACTGCGATCTTCTCTCCTTGGCTTCGGAACGGGGATATAATTAAAAGATGTGTCCAGTGATTATTTTTATAAGTGGGTAAATAATTCCTAAGGAATATTTTTATATTATCAGTATATTTAAAAATATTCACGTATCCGCTTTCGCATGAAGTTTAAGAATATATCATACGTGTAATTTCTAGATTCAAGTTTGTCAACACTGCATACACTAGAAATGATAAGTTTAAGAAAAACTTAATAGAGGAGTAAACTTTCCACAAGAGGACAACGATGTGGTCTGATGTGATTCTTCCACCACCTATATGTTTACGTTATACATAGAAAAAAATCCATATGACATCCACCTTGTTATTCACAGAAAAGGTAGTGCAGAGATACATGTATGATGAGCAATGTAACTCCATTCTTGGGGGAGGGGGTTAAACATCTTTGACCAACAGCTATCTAAAATATTTCCTACATTAATCTCCGGAATCAACGGTATATTCAGCATTTCTAGCATTTCTTTTCTTCGATCAACAGCTTGTTATATAGAAGGACTGATTTGAAATTATGTACTTCATTTATAACGTTTCAGGGATTATGCTCAGCATTTCCGACATTTTTGTATTTCCGGGTTTTTTTTGGGGGGTGGGGGGGTGGGGGGGGGTGTGAGTTTTATGTCTGCCAAGTTTATGAATAATCGATAGGAAAAAAATCAAGTACACTTGAATTATATTATATCAGTGATTGCACTTTGTCCGAGACACATGATACTGATCTCAAATTTAACATGGTTTTCTTTAAAAACGAATCAAAACTTTTACCTTTATTTATTTTGATGTCAATGATTTATTGTTCGATTTTGATTTTCAGTCAGGAAAGTCTTCAAACAGTTTTATTACCTGAAATTCACTTTTTCATAAATGTCGGGAAATAAAAGTTAATTAAAAATTGCCAAATAAACTATGAAATATCGGAAAGAAAAAGTAGTAAGAATATATTTAATTCATTACTGAAATACATGTATATTGAGATTATCTGTATATTCTCCATTCTGATTTATATGAACATTTATTTCGGTCAGAATTGCATATCTTTTACAAACACAATCAATTTTTTATGCCCTTAATTGTAAATTTAAATAAGTTGATGATCATAGGGATAACCGAGCAATCACAAAAGTACATGTATAGATATTGAAAAATCTGTATATCTACTTCGCACCAACTCCTGATAGATCCTGATTGATTAATAAAATTTTATTGTATACCATGTTTATTAATCTGAATTAGTTTTCTGCAAATTTTTTATATAGATTTTTTTTTTTTAGATACACTATTCTTTTTCTAAAAGTGGACAGGTTTTCGTCTGCATCGACGCTGCATGTTCATAAAATCCATCGCGTTCAATATGATAATGAAAGCAAAATGTATTACATTGTAACTCCTTTGACAACACTGGGAAAAATTGTGGAAATACCTACTAATATTAATTTCTCAATAACTAAAGCTACAATTAATGCATTTCCAAAGAAACCTTTTTAGAAGTACTCCTTGATTTGCTCCACAAATAATTGGAATACTTCGGGCACCATCGTGTTAATGTCCAGTACTGACCACTACGTCCGAGAAGTTCTTGGCCCCTTTTGTAAACTATAACATTGTTTTTAAATATGTGTTAAAATTCCATTCTTAAGAAAAGAAATATTGCATTTTGATGGGTTTTTTTATTATTTATTTATTGTTTTTTTGTTTCAAATTCACCTTTAGTCCATAGAAAAGTTTTTTCTTTATTTCATGGCTTTTTAAACGTGATGATTTTTTTAGTACTCCATATGTACCTGTAGGTGTAAAGATTCCTAAATCTTCGCTAGCCAAGGGTTTCCGATCCACCACAGAAGATTTCAGATCGGAAAATTTGGCTAGTAAGGATGTATAACGCTAGTTTTAGACTGATTATTTTAATGACGGCAGTATCTCATCCAACTATTATATAGGCTAAAATATTAAAAGAAGATGTGATCAGTTAGATTTTAACTTAGAAAATGAATGTTTCCCTTCGACAGTCAATACGCTACTTTATTGTTCAATATAAAATTACGAGATATATTCCAACAATATTTGGTGTGTAAGAACAAATAACTCTTGATAAAAAAAATTAAATATGCTGAAAGCTATAACTTCTTTTTTGTCTTAAAAAAATCGATTAAATAACTTTTATAAAAATCCTCATAAGTGATAATCATTCTCTTCAAGATCTCATTTCTATTTTTATTTATAATTGAAGATACTGCAAGTTTCGATAAAATCGTTATGCATGTACCGAAAAAATAAGAAGAGGGGGTGGGGGTGAGGGTGGGGTGTCGTTGTTTAACACGAGCATAAAATGACACCCTGTCTGAAAAATCAAATAATTATTTTCATTGAAGTTTTAGGTGTAAATTTGAAATTTAAAATAAATTTTAATTTAAACAATATTTTATTATGATAAACATAATTGGATTGGACAGCAGGCACTGCGTATATAAGTCCTTTCCACAATTTAAAATAAATAAGTTGTAAGCTAAGATAAGATTTTGTACTATTCCACGTGAACGAATTATTTTAAACAAAATAAACAGGATGAAATAACCATCAATACTTGAATTCAACTTTAAAGATGATTGCATGAATATTATGGCGATATATACGACAACCATTGCTACATACACCGTGTGAATATTCACCTTCAAAACCACGTCTTTTCAGCACGTAATCGCAAGTGCGCTGTGGGGAAAAGGATAACGTCATCAAATAGTAACAAATGTAATGCTACTATTACGTCACAGACGGCATGATAGGCAAAGAGTTAAATGTCAGTCAAGTACACAATACTCTGATGTTATATTAAAGCATTTTATAATAATTTAATTCTGTTTGTATTCTTGTCTCTCATTGGTTGATTTCCAAAAAGGAACGCATAACATTTTGTATAATCTGGTTTGGTATGGGGACACACCCCCTTGACAACCAGCTGAATCATCTGTATCCATCAATCCTCTCATTTCCAGTCCTTCGGATTCATGAAAAATTCCAGATTTAATGAATGTACCTTTAACTTCAAACAGTTGCTCGATTTTACCTCATGTAAACAAGCATCATGGCTGCTAGATCTATGTATCAGTTTTTACCTCCCCTTGCTTCCCATCACTTCCGTTACTACGGTTGTATTATTGCGCGGTAAATTTGAACTAATAAAAACAACACAATTTTACATCCCCAGTTGTTTAATTATTTTAAAATTAAATTATAAGGAATGACTCTAATTCTTGGCCAGATTATCGAGTATAATATGGTTTGGGTCAGTTTACGCTTTTTTAAAATCCGCTTCGCGGAAATGTCTCACCTGGGAGAGGTCAGTCCAGATTACGTTGAAAACATCATCCTTCATGACGTGATTACTTCCAGCATCATGAGAGTACTTATTTCTATATAATCTGATCCTCTCTATGTCGTCACTTTCTGTAATGTGCTCCACTTTAGGTTCCTTTCCCCATCCATTTCTAGGAGGAGCGATGTCAGAGAAATTCCTTAATAATTTATACATGATAGTAACGTCCATAGATAAAGATGATACACCAGTGTTGGATCCTCCTTAAAAACATTTAAACATATTTAAGCTGCGCATTTTCAATAGATAAAGAATAAGAAATCGTAAATAGAATTTACCCAAGTTTTAAATTTGATTAAAATTTACTTCAAATCACTAAAGTATCCTAAAATTTCAGGGTAATATATCAAGTGTTATATAGTTTTTTCTCTCATTTCATCTTTTTTAGGCTAAAGATGTTTGAAGGTAGCTAAGACACTACTTCAAATTGTCACTTTACTTTGAAATATAATGGGAACGCATATAGTTCATCATTTTTGTGGCCCAATATTACACCCCCCCTGGAGCCAGACATTGAATAAAAATGAGTCTATATTACGAGAAGATGCTTGTAGATGATGAAGACTAACCATTTTTAATATATTAAAGAAACACTTTTTCACATATATTATTGAATTTTATTTCACAGTCATTGAATCCCAATGAAAAGGTGGTATGCAGATTAATGTGACTGATCATGCATAGCCAAAGTGGTTTTGTGGGAGATTTTCAAAGATATTTTTATACCAATGTCCTGTAAAACATTGAGCCAAAAATGATATTATGCTTTATTTTTTTGCACTGTTAAAAAAAAACCTTCGAAGGAGTGATTTCCCCTTAACGAGGCTAGGGGGTGGCAGCCATTTTTAGACTATTTCAATCTCCTTTAAAAGGAGAGCTCCATATAAAGATTTACAAAATGATGAAATTCTAAAACTAAAATATATGAATTTTTTCTTTGTCAAATGATAGTTGACAGCTAAAGATACCGTGTGTAAAAAAATAATTTAAATCTGGTGGTTAATTTGGGATTAATTTGTTGACCCTCCAGCCTCCTTAATTTAACAAATATTATTGTCTTTTACCCTTAGTATTGATCTTTAATATATTATTCCAGGCAAAACTGAGAAAGGCTTATATGAACACAGACGACAACAGTCAAATTACAGCAAGGAAAGATTTTTAAAAATAAACATTGAGTTACTTGATCTTGTGAAATGAATGAATGAATTAATTGATTGATTGAATACTGTGTAACGCCAAGACGGCAATTTTTCAGCTATATTTGGGCGCGACATGAATTAAGATACATCAAAAGGAATAGAAAATAGAAGCATTCAATATTTAAACATAGGAAAAAGCCAGCAAGTAACCTTGAGGAGAGAAAAGGATCTCCAGTTGGGGTGGTTGGAATCGAAATTGTCCACTTCTCATGAATGTTTCATTTTCTTTCAAAGTCTTTTCTAAATCCTCTTTAGGGAAGAATTTATCAAAGCAGATTCTTACTGCATCAGTTGCAATTTGCAATAACTTTTGAATCTTGGCAAAGTTATCTGAATTAGAAAAGTGTATAGCTCCAGTGTTTTATTGATATGGAAAAAAATATTTGAAATTAACACAGTAACTGCAAATTACAAATAAAGAAATTATGAAGTCCTTTCTCAAACATGTCAAATAAAACAAATGAACATTAGTGGAAATTTACCAAATACCTCTTATGTGGACAAGTAACAAGTTTACATTTTGAAAAAAAACTGCATGAAAATAGATATTTATGTTAAGTTCAAGATTACATAAAAGTTACGAAAAAATAATCTGAATATGTATTAACTGTTGATATACCTTTGGTATGTGACTCAATATATACAGAACTTCCAGAAGATGACACTTCGCATGTTCCCATGGCTTGAGATATTTCAGCGTCATTGTCATATTCCTTTAAAATGTAAATTTTCAAAACTTTGTATTTTCAAAATTAATAATTATCTAAGAGTTGATGATATAACCGAAAAATTATTTTGAATGCATACATGCATGTAAGAAATGTCTTCGATCCAGAATCACCATCTTGAACAGAAACAATATATATTCTTGTAAAAATGTTCTCTGCTGCAGGGATATAACAATTTTGTTTGATTACCTGTATCCTATACTTTGTGACATCCTTTGAATTGATGATGTGCTTTCTCCCAATTGAACAGAGAGGACACTGAAAGGTTGGTTTTGTAAAGTCTGATACATTGATCACAAAACTTTCCTTGTTATCACAAAATCCTGTAGCTTTGCATTTGAAAACGAGAGCAAATTTAGAATTAGCATGGAATGTCTCGGAAAGGACGTTCAGTATATTGTCGACTTTGTTCTTTATTTGTTGACATGTTGATGTATCGACTTCTCCTTCAATTACAAACACTTGTAACTGAATTTCTGTTGATGTCATACCAAGCAAAATGTTATGGTTCTCAAACAGAAACACAGCTGCTGTCTGGTAAACGCATAGTTCATCGTGACTTGAATTTAGCTTCCATGGTATTTGAATGCAAGTTGCTATAAGACGCTGGAAAATTCCAGCAGGAAGAACATCAAACACATAGCAGAGGATGGAGAAGGCAGGGTATGATGAGAAGCATTCCGAAGGAAATGATCTCTTGTTCATACAGGGTACATACCATTTACTGTCACCTAATTTAGCCAAGAGTCAAAGTCTCTCCATGTAGAGCATGACATCCTCCTTGTGTTCAAGGTATCCATTATTGTACATTTTCCATATAGCATACAGTAATGTGTCACTTCTGCGTGGTTTTTGTCAGTGATAACATTTCTGAATGCATTAGCAAACCACTGCACATCAAGAATAATTATTTCTCTGAGGAATACTTGGTCAAAAAACAAAATTTCTTTGATATCATGAAAAAACTGGAGCATGATATAAATACCATTTACTGTTTTAAATTTAAGTTCTTGTGGTAAAGCTTCATTGAAAGCCAAAAGTGTCCCTATTTTGATTACTTTATGGGTTTTCTTCTCCTGGAAGAAGTTTTCGAACATAGCCCATGATTGCAGAAGCCTTTCTCCCCAGTGTTTAAGATTATTAACAACTTCAGCGATTGACAGTCTGATTTTTTCAATGCATTTATCGTCATTGAATCCTACTGAAAACATCCTTGCATTGTCAAGATGCCTCTGTAATGACTTGTCCTTCGTTTCCAGACTCTTCCATACCTCACGGAAAAAGTCCGCTTTTTCCTGAAGAAAAGCAATTGCAAAAAAAATTTAAATAAGTGTAAAAATTGATTATATAAAGTTATATAAAGATATTTATATACCCTTATTTTAAAATATTTTAAAAACATTTATGAAAATGTTTTCTTTTTCTACAAGTGAAACATTTCTTGATAGTTTTTTGCAGTATTCTTTGAAAACATTTACAAAATGTTTCTAAAATATTAATTGAGAATTGAGAAAAGTGTTTAAATGAAGAATTGTAATTTTTTCTTAATTGAAAGATTTATTCCGTTATTTCTTTGATGATTTCTTTTATGCTTAATTGATTTAACATACATGTGACAAGTTCTACAAAGAGATAATGATAATAAAAAACCAATAAATGAAAGGATGGAGAGACAAGCAAATCAAATATATAAATACAATGTAAATTAATGAATAATGAATAAATAAATTAATAAATAATATGGGTTTGTATTAAAGGTTTACAAATAAAAATATAATTTGTGTATATTTTTTTTTTAATTTAAAGATATGATTATTAATGAGGAAATGTACTAAACATGCTAAAAATTGCATTTCAATTTCAAAAAGTCATATACGAACGTAAACGATAAGTATCATTTCAGGAGAAAAACACTTCTGTGACATTCGACCTGAAGCGTTTTAAAAACCATACAAAATAACATGAATGAAACGTTTTCGAAAATAATTTTGTTACATTTTAGAAAATGTTCATGAAATTATGAAGATATTAGCTGAAATATTTTTTTTAAATGTTTTTAAAAAAAAGTTTCAAAAAGACATACAAAATCACGTGATTAAAATATTGTTGAAAAAGTTTTTTGTAATATTTCAAGAAAATGTTTTTGTAACATTGTAAGAAAATGTGTTGACAAAATTTTGGGAAATATTTCACTTACATGTCTTAGAAACGTTTGAAAACCATACAAAATCACGTAATGAAAAATGTTTTTGTAACATTTTAAGGAAAATGTTCTGACAACATTTGCTGAAATATATCACCAATTGTTTAACTTTTTAAAATGTTTAAAAGCCATACTAAATCACGTGATAAAGACATTTTAAAAAATGTTTACGCAACATTTTTAACATGTTTTAAGAATATATTTTGAAAATGTTTTTGTGATATTTCTTAGAATTAAAGGGGAACCTATGTCCGAGAAGTCTTTGTCTAAAATTTTCAAAACTTTGACATTTCTTTCCTGACCACTTGCTCTTAATTTTTAGGTATTAAAGACAATACCTTATGTGCTTTTTTTCACAGGAGCACGTGTGAAATGCTAAAAATAGATTATTTTCACACATCATTGTTCTACCCCAAATATGCGCTAAAAAGAACCAAAAATGTCAAATCACATTCAAAATCAACAGGTATTAAGTTATATGATTTGTATCTTTAAATTGAATGCAAATTCATTGTAATTCATCTTGCATGAAAACTTTTATTGGAGCACAATTTAAATTTAATTCCGTTTTTCTTGTCGTATTTTTATTTACAATTCAGACATGTACAACAGGTAATATCTTAAAAATTCTGTGTGTAAAAATTAAGTTATTCATATTTTATGAAAGAAATGATTCACCTTTTTTAACAAAGAAAAAAGTATACCTTTTTGATAAATTAGAGAAATATGACTTTTTCTTTTATCTGTCGTACTCTTGTGTCATAAATATTGACATTTCTGCACTAAGGAAAGGTAAGTAAGCACTGACAAATGTCTGAATATAAAACTATTTTGCGAAAAACAAGTTTTTCGCTTTCGTCAGAAACAATTATTATAAAAATTTGGTAATGAATGCTATTCTTTATCAGATATCCCAGTAATACCTGATGTGGCATATCCTATCCCCAGGGGTCTTGATTTTGATAATTAAAAATCTACACTACTCTGGGATGCTTCTACATAAGATTTGGGTTTTCTGGCGAAGTGGTTCTTCAGAAGAAAGATTTTTCCTATATATTTCAATGTAAATCTTGAATTAATTTTTACATCCCCGCACTTCCCCCGGGCGTCATGATTTGAAGAATTTGAAATTTAAATTATCCCAGGTTGCTAACACAAAAGTTTAAGCCAAGTGGCTATTGAGAAGAAGATTTTTAGGGATTTTCCTATATATTTCAATGTTAACCTAGGATTCCTTATTGCAGCCCCGCCCAAACCCCCGTGTTTATGGTTTGAAGAATCTACACTGCCCAAAAAATACTTCCACATCAGCTTCACTTTTCTGGAGCAAAGGTTCTCGAGATAAAGATTTTTGAAGATTTTCAAAAAATTTCAATGTAAAACTTCGATTTCTTATCGGGCTCCCGCCCTATCTCCAGGGGTCATGATCTGAACAATTTAGAATCTAATCTACCCAAGGATGCTTTCAGATAAAATCCAGCTTATGGCCCAGTGGTTCTTGAGAACAAGATTGTTAAAGATTTTTCCTATATATTTCAATGAAAACTTGGATTCGCTATTGAAGCTCCGCCCAACCCCCCTGGGTGATAGTTTAATTACATATTTTCACTACCCAAGGATGCTTCAGCATTAAATTCATCTTTTCTGGCCCAGTGGTTCTTAAGAAAAATTTTAAATTATCCCACCCTATCTTTTTCTTTTTTTGATTATCCCTCTTTTGCGGGGACTTGGCCCTTTATTTTAACAATTTGAATTTCCCTTTCCCCAAGGATGTTTTGTACCGAGTTTGGTTAAATTTAGCCTAGTGGTTCTAGAGGAGTCAAAAATTTGAAAAGTTTACAGAGACAGACAGGTGGAAGACGGATAAAATGTGGTCAGAAAGGCTCGCTCCAGCCTTTTGCTTAGCTGAGCTAAAAACTGCAAATTCAAAGAAAAAGTGTTTGTGCTATTCTTTTATCTGGAAGATGAGGGAATTTGGTTGTTGTATGTATCGATAAAATGGGGTCATATTGCAACCAATATTGACTTTTATACATATTATCAAACAGATTTTAAAAAATAAAATATTGTTTAATATTTACAATGTCTAATGCATGTAGTTTATTCGGCAGATGTTGTATATTAAAAAAATAAGAGGCTCAAGGGCCACATCCCTCACCTGAGCACTGGATTAGAAAAAAAATGTAGTTTTAAAAAGTGGTTCCGATATAATCCTAGAAGACAGAAGGGGTATGATTTGAACAAAACTGAATCTACACTAACTAAGAATGCAAGCATATTTTTATGACTAACTAATTTTTCTCACGAGTTTGAATTTCATTTTGGCCAAACTCTACCCCCTGGTGGTCATGGATTTGAATCTACAACACATGAAGATGTTTCCATATTAAAATAAAGTCCAATCATAGCTTTGCTATTTTTGAGAAGAAATTTTTTTTCTTTGTATTCCTTATATGTAAAACTGTGATTGATCATTGTGACCCTACCCTACCCCCGGGGTCAAGATTTGAACAAACTTGAATCTGCATCACATGAGGATGATTCCATATATGACTTTTTATGGCTGTGCTGTTCTTGAGAAGACTTTTAAATTTTTGCCTTATACATTCTTATGTAAAACTTTGATTGTCCACTTTGGCCCCACCCTACCCCGGGGTCTTGATTTGTTTATACACCACCTGCAGATGCTTCCATATATATGACCAATCATGGCCGTGCTGGTTTTGAGAAGATTTTTAAAGATTTGTTCCAATATATTCCTATATAAACATTTTATTGACC